TATTCAGCGTACGTGTGGAATACATATTAAGGAAAGCTGCATTGGAAGAAACGGGAGGAAGAAACACCAATAACCTGTGGTATGCTAACTATTTTGATAACTGAAAATGCAAAGAATCTTAAAGCCTGATACTAAAAGTCAAAGAGCACAGTGAAAATATTGGACTAAAATTAAAAAGAAGGAAGACCAAACTAATGACAATAGGTAGAACAGCCAGCCCTACCACTGACAATGAAAATAGAAAAGTTAATAGTTTCTACCTTTTAGGATCAACTAAAAGGATCAAACAATCAAGAAACACATCACAGACTAGTACTTGGTAGAGCAGCCCTGGAGGCCTTAGAAGAGACATCAGATGCTATGATGTCTCCATACTTACAAAGATCAGAATTATGGAAGCTATGATACTCCTCGTAGCACTCTATAGAAGAAAAAGTTTAAAGAAGCAGGTTTGTGTGCCGTTGGGAGACTTGAAAGAAAAGTTTCGGGATAGGTTGTCATGGAGAAAATCTATGTGGTTGCTAGGAGTCGAAAATGACTTGATGGCTCACCATAAACAAACCTTGGTTCATTCATCCATGCAAAAAACAACACAGATAAGATTAGGAGTGCAGTTCTTAATACATTTACTACGAAGTAAGCTTTATTTATTGAAATGTACTTATATTGGTGAACATACAGTATGCAGGACTGTATCGTAGTATATCTACAATACTTTGTATATTTATCTGGAAGTACGCCCTACTGAATACAGTGAGGCATTCTATCAACTGTACACTAAAAAAGGCAGATATTTTTTCACTTTTCTTTATTCAGTAAACTCCAGTCTATATACTGAGACTTGAAAAAGATAAGCAGGTGGGGAGAGAAGGGGAAAAGTCAGGAGACTACAAATGTGAGATACTTTATAGATTGAGAAGAATCTTCCATCTGTTCTTGCCATATCAGATTACTAGATACAGTGGTTAGAGTCTGAATTTTGATAGGATAAAAAATTAAAATGCAAAACAAAGACTGGCAGCCTGTTAGATCAGGTGTTTTGTGTTCTTATTATAGAATGTTCAAGGGGAAAATACAGGAGGAGAGCAAAAAGCCGTTTCTTCATTTTCACATATTAATTGCTGTTTCCACACTTTTCCATCTTGACTGTCATACTTTCTGCACCGACAATTAACACTTTGGAGGGCGTCTAAGTGGGAAATAATAGCCTTTAAGCTTCACTAATTTCCCGTTTGCAGTTGGCTATTAATTTATTTACTTCTATAATTATGGCCCCATTATACCAGAGTCAAGATTAAAGAACTTTCCCTGTGAAAAACAACAATGGTCCTACTTAATTCACTGATCTTCTAACTCTGCTTTACCACACACAGATTACCAATGCTTTCTTCTGAAAGGACTAATAACTTATTCTGACATTCTGAAATTAGTGACACATCTATACTGGAGATCTGTAAATTGCACATTTGTATTGTGCTAATGAATTGTGTTATGCTAGTTCTTTAAGCAAACTAGCACTTCTGCCTAGCAATGCTTGTTATTCTCTCAAAGTCTGTAGTGGTAAGTTAGCGCCACCTAAATTGTATGGGTCCTTTTTGGTAATAGTTATTCACTTTGCGTCATAAGTCAATATTATTTAGCAGACTGCATTTCTGTTTTTATTCCAAAATTATTCTTGTGACTTGGTTTTTTTTTAAAGCAATTTAATGTGTTATGGGAATCATTCTATGAGGCAAGCCTTCAACTTATTTTAAGTTACATCATTATTTATTCAGTATTTCAGCAATGGATTAGAGTTCTATATAAGTTCTAGCTAAGTTTTATTGTTAAATTTAATGTTGATACATTATATTTCCGCTATGTGAACACTGAACAGTTGTCTGTTTCTGCTCCTACCTGCTAAAGATGAATGTAATAACGAAGATATGAATTGCTGGAAAACACTTGATTCTTTTCTCCTTTCCCAAGGGATCAGGAAATCCTTCCGTCTGAGTTTTATTTATTGATTTATATATTGAGCATAAATGGGGAGTGAAGTTTTATAATTTCATTATTAATTTGTCAGTTTTACCCTCTCAAAAAGGAGTCATTAACAATGGTATTTGTAAGTGCTGGCTGGCTTACATTACAGAGGCCTGGCTATAATAATACCAATAGTGTAAGCACTAGACTAGGGTATGGTATCCAACTCAACTTTTATTTTCCTCTCTGAAAAGAAATACATTTTTAAAAAGTTAATTCAAGAAGTTTGAAATTTCTTGTGAAGCAATAGATGTTATATTACTACTGTTTGTTTTTTCCCATTGTTTTTGTTTTAAAAATAAAGAAACAAATTGTTCCCAGTGACTTATTTTCAGTTCTAATGGATGAAAAACATACCTCTGGAGCTATTTTCTGACTTAGTGAATATTTACCAAGCTTCCTGCAGCCTATAAATGTACAAACATGAACTTGGTTACTCATTAGCTTTCTTGAGAAAGTAAGGTATAATAATCATGTAGAAAACTGGTTACGTATCTAGTTTTAACTGAATGCGGACAACAAAGGGATCTTTACAGCTTAAAACTATTTTTGTTTTTCAGAACTGTCTGAGTTGATGTGAATTTGTATAGTGGTTATCTTGTTTACTGGAATATCTCTCTCTTGCTGGGCAACAGCTTGGCAAGATTAAGGTCCATGGAATAAAAATGTATGCATGCTTTTAAAGAAGATATAGCTGTCCTAGGAAGTGGTTTTGGATAACAGAAGCAGGTTAATGCAATGCCCTGCTTTCAACAGCAGTTAATGGACTCTTCCCTCCAAAAAGGATTCATGTTTCTGGAATACTGTACAGTTTAAAGGGGTGCAGTTGGCGCATTCCTTTCTGGTATGCTTAAAGGTGATCTATCTTTTCTGTTTTATACTTTCTCCACTTGGGGCCCCTTAAAAGCTTAGCAAATCTGCTATTCTAGAATAGACAGCATGATTACCAAATTGTCTTTGCATACTTCTAGAAGGAAAGATGTCGCATAGTTTTGTGTCATTATTATAACTAATGTAGCTTACAGTCTTTTAATTTGTAAGAAGCCATTGAAAGAGTAGAGAAGTAACTGTTTGTTTTAAAATCCCATCAGTGGGTATTATACAATAGCACAGAAGGGGAGGTTTTAAAACAGAAAATATGAGGCAATATGCATGCATACATGATTGTCATTAAGCAGGGAGGGGATTCTACCAGCATAACAACCGGTTCGCTTTGTGTGTGTGCGTGCCAAATGCGCACATGCACACTACTTACAAATTACTGAGTCCGGCAAGCATTCACCTGCTCGTTGACAAGTGGCACTCACCTGTGCTGCACAAAGCAGCTGAGGAGGAAAATGCAGAGACTAAAAGATAGCCTCGAGCCCGGGTGGGTGGGTGAAACAGATGACCAGACGATTGTTACAGCGAATCGGTTTGGTGTCAGCTGTTCTTCAGAGCTACCGATTCTAGAGAACTGGTAGAATCTCACCCCTGGTAATAACATGAGTTTTGAACAAATACAAAAGTATGTTATGCCCTCTTGTGATATCCCCCAGTTAAAGTTGATTAATTTGGCTTATACCAAATTGCCCATGCCCTCATCCTTTCACTCATACATAGCTTAGGTAAATAGGCCTCCTAAAAGGCTGCTGGGAAGTGTCGTTCATTAGTAGGCAGCTCAGTGTTCAAAGGTGGTACAACTGATCTCCAGAAAATAGCTAAATCTATTTGCTTTTCCTTATATTTTCAGTTGTTACCAAGCTTCTTTGGCAGTGTGTGTGTTTTGCTATTAGGAGGGACTTAATCCCCCCTTCCCAGATCTATTGTCAAGTAGGAGGTATGAGAGGTTTTATATGTATCAATTATATGTAGCAACTATGATCCTCCTAGCTTGTATGGCTTCATGATAAAATCAGAGTTCAAGTACATAAAATTAAAAGCCTGCTTCTAGGGAGGTCTACACTATATTCTTAAGGCTCATGTTTAGATTAAATTGTTATAATCTCTGAGAAATTATAACATTATTTGTGTAAAGAAACAAATCTTAACAATCTGAGTCCTTTGTTGCTACCCTATCCCTGGGAAGAGGCCCTTAGAGCTGTTATGTCATTGACCATCTTTTGCATCTATATTTCATAAAGATAAATCTGCATGTAGCATAGACTTATGAGAAATTAATAACAAACAGGGTCTCCAGTTCAAAACTAGGATCAAGTCATAATCTAGGCAACTACTGATGGTAGCTTTCTGGAGAAATAAAAATGGTAGCTATTAAATCATGCTTCTTTTTTGTTCCTGCCCAATGTGTGATTTCCCCCCCCCCCCCAGGATAATTATTATTAATGGGAGCATTGAAGAGATAAACATCTAATTTAGCTATGGTCTGTGAGAGGCAAAGTCGACAAAAAATAAGTGTTGTACATGAAAGTAACTCTCCCTCTTTTGTGGGGGCGGTGGTTTTTTGAGTTTGACATATTGCGCACATACAACTTATGAAAAGAACAGATCATTGTACTTGTTTTGGATCATCATTATCCAATACTTTTGGTCAGCTGGTCATCATGGCCTGAAATAGACATAGGGCTTATTTTCATGTGGATACTCCCGTTGCAAATGAGAGGAAATTCTAGTTGCAAAACATGCTGTTTATTAAAGTTTAATTATTAAAAATGTTTCTCAAGCAAATGAGAAGCTGGATACTTATTACAAGCGGATTGAAATGTAAATAGCGTTGAGTTCTTTCAGAGATGTATTTGCAAATCCGCGTAGCCAGCCATTAAGTGGACTTGGCTTTTGGCTGCCATCCTAAATCCCCTTTAAAGGCAGCGGGGCCCTTCGGTTGTCCCGCCTGAAGGTCGGTGTCGGCGCTCTGAAAGGAACGGCGATTCCCTTGACCACCCGTTTATTGGGCTCTTCTGCCAGAGCCGTACCGTACAAGCGAGGGCTAAACATGCTCACCCTGAGAAGGAGGCGGGGGGCGTCGAATGGCGAAATCTAGTTAGGAGGCGGCGGCCGGTAACCAGCCGGGGGCGCTACAGCTGCGGATAAGGGCGGGCCGCTTGCGCTCGCCAGGAGAACCCCGCAGGCTGGAAACGGAACTGAGACATGTCGGAGCGGCATTGAGGAAGCTGCCTCGGCTTCGCAGCCCCGGGAGCGGAGTGGGCGGCTCAGGGCTACGACGGAGGAGCCAGCTGCGCTCATTCCCGCAGGCCCCGCCGTCAAAGAAGCAGGAAGAGAACAGCCGCCGGAGTGGGCGGTGGCAGCAAAGGAAGTGGCTGCGGCGGCGGCAGGCTGGATCCCTCCCCGGGAAGATGAGGCAGAGGCCCGGGGAGCTGAGCGGGCTGAGGTGGGGCGCTTTCCTCACAGCCGCCAGGACAAGATGGCAGCGGCTGAGGAGGCGGCGGCAGCAGCAGAAGCAACAACAGCAGCAGCCCGGGGTTGAGTCGGGCCTGGGAGGCGCCTCCTTGTAGTAGCTCTCCGGTCATGCCGAGGGCGGAGGCGGCGGCGGTGCTGGCGGCGGCTGCGGGGAGTCCAGCGCTGCCCGATCTGTGAAGGTAAGAGCCGGGGGGAAAGGGAGGGAGCGAGCGATCCAGACTGCTTTTTCTTCCCCAGGGGGGCGGGAAGGGCAAAGCCTCTGGGCTTATCCTTACCCACCGCTAATCTTTGGGGTGGAAAGTGTGGGGTTGGGCAGGGATGCTGAGGCCATTCGCTCCCCCCCTTCAACTTCCAGCTCTTCCTGTGGTTTGGCTTTGCCTCCTTTGCGCGGCCCAGCGCGCTCCAAATGAAGCTGTTCGGCAGAGGCGAATCGGTTTGAGAAAAGTCGGGGAATCAGGCTTTTGGCGTTTCCCAGAAGGAGAACAAAATCAGCCTTTAAGCAGGTGGGTGTGGAAGGGGGAACAAAACCCGCCAGGAGGATTGCTCGGATCTTCATCGCCGCTGGGGTTTAGCCTAGGAGAGAGAGAGAGAGAGATTGAAGCACGGGTCCCAACTAAGCTCCGTGCCTCGATGCTGGATCCCAGAGGGCTTGGTTGCAACGGTGCTTTGAAAAACTTTGCCTTGGCAGAGTTTGGCTGCAAATTTTCCATTCTTTCTGATACAACCGATGTCTGAACAAAGGGGTTTTTTGGGGGGGGGCACAATCGGGCAAAAGACTACTAAATCCCCCCTCCCCTCTTCTTTTTTGGTTAGCATTATTTACAGACTGAAGTATAAAGTAGCTTTCTTGCCGCCGGCGTATGTGAGAGGTCCCCCCCCCCCCCGCCAATTTAGTGTATAAATAGTTCGGCTCGTTTCTCGCTTTGCTTCCGTTCTCGCTTTCCGTGCGGGCTTCACCCCCACCCCCACCCCCTTTTTAATTTGGGAACTAGAAATTTCCCTTTCGTGCTGTGCGCCTGTCTCTGCCCCCGCCCTCACCCTTTCGTGCCGTTTTGCTCGCTTAGTTTTTTACGCTGGCCGAGCGGGCTAATCTTTAGGATCGCTGGTGTGTATGAAAGAAGAAATGTGACACGGCTGCTCCTCTTGCAACTTGTTAGAGCAGCGGGAAGGCGTGGTCGCCGCCTTCTCTGGTTCCCAGGAATTATTGCCTCGCTTCGGGACTCGGAGGTAACTAGCAACAATGGTTTGGGGAAAGTAATGACTATTTTCATGCCGGGGGAACAGTCTCTCTCAGAATGGTATGTGGAGTACTTGTGATCACGTCATGCTGGCAATCGCTCAAAGGTAGTTGGGCTTTAGGATCGGTGTTAAATTTGATTATTACCTTTTAGACCTTAACAGGGATCTTTTTTAAACGTTGAATTTTAGAGATTGCGTTGTGCTTTATAGATCTTTTTCACCGTAACTTAAAAAAAAAACCCAGCCTGTAAGAATTGTTTAAATATTTAGAGTTCTAGGCTTTATTGTAATAAAGTTTGCTGTAATAATAGCTGGCTGCAGACAAGAAGTCTTATTTGTGTTGTGTTTATGAAACAGGCGTTTTATTTTACAATTTTCGGAGTCAGAAAGTGCTTATAATATAGCAACTTTATTTTAAAGCAGTTACCATCCTAACTGATGACTTGTAACATTATTTTTAGGAAGAGTATTATACTGAGGTAATTAAAGTTATTTTTCATCTCAAGATATACTTATCTGAATTTAATTTAGGCAGGTTTTTTTCTTTCTGTCATATATGCTAAACATTGAATTCTCTTGGCCAGCAGTATTGGTGTCTTATTCGCATGTGCCTTGTGAAACCAGATACTTGGATATGCATGTAGCTAATTTTGTAAATGCACTTATATTAAGCCATGACTACGCACTAAGTGCTATATAAAGGGTACTTGAAATCATTGACTCTTTGTTCTATGGCATTAACATATTTATTTTTAAAAAACAAAGGCTAGTAATTTTAGCTGTCTTATTTGGGTTTTTCTCCTTTATTGGCTTTTTAAAAAATGTGACTTAGGTAGTCTGTTGGTACGCTGTATTTGAAAGATAAATTAAATCTTACTCTTTTTATATTCTCACCTTAGAAGGCAATTTACAAAACACTGTTGCTCGGTTTTCTCCATGGATAGCAACTAGTAAACTGAATATAACTATAGTTTACTACAGTTTACTAGCTCTAAAGGTTGCCATGGTGGTTTTTGTATCATGTATATTTTAAAAACTTGGAAACATTTTACAATTGAATAGTATTAAAGAAGAATTAAGCGATGATATCACTATAGAATTGCCAAGAGGTTAATTTTAATAAATGTGTCATCAAGCACATAGATTAAGTAGCATGTAATCAGGTCAGGGCTTTGTTTATTTATTCATTCACTCATTTTGCTGCCCATTCCTGAAGGCTCTGAGTGGCTAATAAAGTCAATTTACAGAAAAATGAAAATAATGATTCAGCCTTTCCAAATGCATATAAAAATAAAAAGGACAGAAATTAAAACAAAAAACACAAACACCATGTGACTGTGAACACCACCTTCAATTACAACCCCACCTCCTCTTATGCAAGACAGAACAAGTAGGCCTTCACAATTTTCCTAAAGCCTAAGCAGAATGCTGTGAAGAATTGATTTGTGAATTAGCTTGATTCTTGAATAAATAATTCTACCGGAGAAAATATTCCTTTAATTAAACTTTTGTCTTTGATATAAGGTTTTGTAATATAAGTATATATGCATTTGTCCATAATCTATATTACAGATAAGAAACATAGCTTTTGTGTTAAAACATCAGTCATTTCAGTTATGACTTATTTAAGCCAAATAAGTGGTCCACATGTTGCATTAAACTATATAGTACAACCTAAATGGCTAGTTGCACAGATAATGTCAAAGCATACAATTTATATTATGGCTGTTAGAAACCAGTTATAATCTGGCAAGTTTTGTCTTAGCCAGATGGCATAGGATAATTTTAGGATAATTGTTAATGTAATCTTATCAGAAGTTCCATTGAGTTTAATGGAGCTTATTTACAAGTAATGGATAATTAATTAATTACAGCTAGTTTTTATTTTTAAAGCTTATTAAGATAAGGAATTATTTCTAGAGAAAAACACATATACTTTTAGTATTTTAAAGTCTTTATGTCATGAAATATATCCTCCAGCACATTGATAGCAATTGACATGAAACAACAATGCTCATGTAAGCAAGGAAAATCTGAAGCATTCATATACATCAATATTTTTGAAAGGCTGCTAACATATATAAAAATAGAGATTACAACATGTTTATTTGGTGAGCATTTTGGCACAAAAAATATAGATTTTAGTTAAAATCTCAGTTAAACAGTATTTTACTTTTCTTGCATTTTAAAAGAATGCACAAGCAGAGCAAAACTATGCAATCATTCACTTTCAATTTTTTACATTATTCTACGTGTCTAGTGAGGAAAATCACATGTTTTTGTGGAAAAGCTTGAATCTATATATAGCAGTACCAAAAAAAAAGTTTAAGTCTAGTAGTTTCTTTACAACAGAATGAGATTATATATCTGATGAAATGATCAACATGTTAGAGAAGTGAGAACTGACACTTAGAGGGGTAAAATAAAATTATAGCATATATCTTTCCTTTGTGATTTCTTAAAAACCAACTAGTCTGAAGAAAGAGAAAGGATTGGAATGGTTGTGTAGTCCAATACTTAAAATTCTCTTTTTTTAATGGTCCTTTCATGAGTTAGGTTCAGGTTTGTAATTTAGGGACCTCTTATCCCTGTGCTTTCTCAAAAAAACTTCCTTTCTCAAAATGTAGTTGTTGACCAAAGACTCTGAATTATCTATATTATCTAATATTTCATATCCAGGACATTACAGTGTGCTGAGATACATCTTATGAAATCTTTGCAAATCAAGAGAGGGTCAGCCTATTCTCCAAAGCATCTGAAGGCAGGACAAGAAGCAATGAATGGAAACCAATCAAGGAGAGAAGCAACCTAGAACTACAGAGAAGTTTCCTGACAGAATAATGAAACAACTTGCGTCCAGAAGTTGTGGGTGCTCCAACACTATAGACATTTTAAAGAAAGGATTGGACAACCAGTTGTCTGAAATGGTATGGGGCAAGGGGGTCAAACTCACGGTGTCATGTCGTTATGTGACATATCATGCCTTTTTTCCCTTTGCTAAACCGGGGGTAGGCGTGGCCAGTGCGTGACACATCCGGCCTGTGGGCCGCGAGTTTGACACCCCTAGTATAGGATTTCCTGCTTGAGCAGAAGGTTGGACTAGATTTCCAAGGTCCTTTCCTATTCTGTTAAATCCACATTGTACACACAAAACAGCCAAATGTATTAGCCTGCTGGCTAGCCCATGTAGGTATAGTAAAATTCCTTATTTATGCCTTGTTAAAGACATACAAAAATGTATTACATTCTCATAACCATGGATTTATCTGTCAAGATGGCCAAAACAGTTCTGCCAGAAATTTTTTTTTTATCATTTTTATCCTACTTCTATTCTTTTTATAAGACAGCAAACTTAGCAATACTTTCTCCTGCTAATTTTCTACAACAACCCTCTGAGGTGGATTGGGCGGAGAGAGTGACTGGCCCAAAGTCACCCAGCTGCCTTTCATGCGTTACTTAGAAAAGTATTTTGGCTTAGTGTACTCTATGGATTCAACCTATTATGATTTATGTTACAAAACCCAATACAGAGTGTATATTCATGCTATAGTCACTATGCTTGTTCTGTGTTGCTTTAAAAAAAAAACACACAAATGTACATTTTCTTTTTTTTCTGAAAGGTGGATATCTACCTCCTAAAGTAAGGATGATTCCTGGTATTAGGATACAATCCAGGCAGTTCTGTTTTAGGCGTTTGCATATTAACATATGGATATTGCTACTTTTACTGGCTGAATTTATTAATATTCTTTTATGGTAATAGTTTTATTTTTTAATTTAGGCAAACTACCCAGAGTAGTATGATAGGATCAGTTTAGAAATCATGTAAATTTTTTAAAAATAGTTTTCCCAAGTATTGTTATTCTTCAAGTAATAAGTTGACATTGTGATTCTTGTTGATGTAAGCATCATGTATTTAGTTTAGTTTAGTAAATAATTG